ACTTAAATAAATTGTATCTATAAAAATAATGTATAATCAGAAAATATATTAAATAATTTAGTAAATGTTTATAAATTTATGAAGAAAACATTTTCATATTTATTTCTTTATGAATTGGTAAATGGTAAATATTGCATTGCATTAGTTTTAATACAATTGTATTAATTTTTAGAATATTGTAAATATGAAATTATTCTTGTAAATAATCTAATAAATAAATAGAGTTTAATATTTTTGTAATAAATTCTTAAGAACAAAAAAATGTATAAATTCACTTTCATATGTTATGGTTTTATTACAATTGTAATCATCTCTTTAAAACAATAAACATTGCAGAGGAGTGAAGGTAGTTAAAATAATAGCAGCATCAAGGGAAAAACCATCCTCTTGATATTCCATTTTTTGTGGGCATGAAGATCTAAGTTTGCTGATTTGTTTTCTACTGTTAACCAACACCTTGTGAGCTATTTAAAGCCAAAACATATTTAGGATTCTATGAATATTTTCTACTTAAGTGAATATTGCATTAGTAATTTTTTGAGAATAACAATGATTTTACAGAGACAAGCCCAACTATTTAACCCATATCTGGGGGGAGATGGATTCATACCTTTTCCAAGAATATTTGCACATAAGCAAATGTAACAATCTCAAACTGAATTTGAACTTTGCTCTTTGATCAATATAGAAATAGTAAGAGTTTATTAGTTCACTATATGTGGTCAAACAATTTTATTTGGCGCCTTCAAATATGGTATACATACTTGTTTATTTATTGGATTCAAGGGATGATTTGAACTTAATGTTTCTGCTCCTTATGGGGAAAGGAGATTCCACTTCTTTCCTGTTATGAAGAAATATCTTTTATAATAACAATTACTGTTTGCGACTGTTAGATGTCAGATTGTAATTCATTTTATTATGTCCACATAAGAAAAGTATTAATGCTCTTCGAAAAAACTATTTGAGAGAGAGCAGGTTTTTTCCTCCAACATGTATGATCTGTGTTAAACCTATATATCAATATGGTATAAGAAGTTAACCAATCCTTGCTGGTAGTGGATGTTCCACCCAACAACTACCACAGTTCGATTCTAATTAGCAGCAGGTGGCTTATCACACTTGCCAAATAAAATAAACTCAACCATGGCCCTGAATATAAGCTCTTTCAATTTCTCCTCAGATTTTGTTTATGTTAACTGCTTGAAGAACACTTGTCAGTTTGAACAGAGAATTAAGTTTATATACCTCCACAAATTGGGTACAAGTAAGGTTTAAAAGGAATTTTTAAAATGAAAAAGCTTTCCTGAGACTTTCAATTTAGCTTTAAATGAACGCTAAAGGATTAAATTTACTATACCTGGTAAGCAAAATACTTTTCAGACAGAAATTATATTGATTAGAATAGACATGCATTTTTTTTTCAGTAAAATTGATAATGTCAGACATTTTTTAGACATTTATAAATAAAACTTAATTTTCAGTTTTAAAAATCTTGCAAAAATAAAATATTTCTGAAATGTTATTTGAGGAAAATTAGCAAATTTAAAGTTAAGTTAATCTGATTTGAAACAAATATTACTTACTTATAGCATAAAATGTTGTATACAAGCATTTCCTAACCATGGGGTCTTGTTTTATGACATATTAATCAATTTATTGATGATGGATTGACTACCAAACATATTCATAGTTAAGTATGGTGTAGCAGATGATAAATTTCATTAGTTTTTTTCCACATTACATGTGACCTTTTAAGAATAGATTTATCAGTTTGTACATCCATACTTCAGAAATTCTGCATATAAAAACAAATCAATTTTTTTAAAAAAATAGACAGGGTCTTCAGATTGTAATAAGCTTTAAAATATATGTTTAGTAAATATAGTTTTACTTAATAACAGTATTCCCTAAGAATTATCTCCTCAAAATTAAACTTTAAAAGACTCAAAAACTTAATAAATTATTCAATTTTAAATTGTAAAAAATGAAAAAATTCTTATAAAAATTCATTTTTCATTGAAAAAAATATTTTTCTTTATACAATAGTCTTTAATATACATTATTCATAAAAGCAATTAAAAGCTTCTCTAATTAAATAATGTCTTATAGTTTTATTGCATTTTTATTTTTCGATTCAGAAAATTTTTTCTGTAAGACCAGGTCCGATTTTGAAAAAAAAAAAAAAAAAAAAAAATCAGTGATTTAAATTCTTCAAAAAATTCTGCTTTTAAGTAATAGTACTTTTAAGTAGTCAATAAAAATTATCTCGGATTTCTCAAGCTTTCATAAAACTAACTAAGAGGAAGAAACACATAAAATAAAAAATATTTTTACCAAGATTTTCTTATAAAATTTTTTTTTAAAATAATTTCATTTGTTTGTGAAGAAGTCCAGAAAATTAAATTAAATTTCATTAAAATCCAGAAATTATTTGATTTTTGCAAGAATTTCCAAATTAATGTGTCTGTCACAACAAAAAGGTTAAAATTTGCTATGCTAAAAGTTTAGTACAACCGCTAACACAAGAAAAACAAAATTTTTAGCAAAATTTTGAATGTTATAAAAAGGAGTAAAAAATTAAATTAAATAATCAAAAAATACTTTGATCCTTCCTCTTAATAATAACAACAATTTTGACGATAAAACTGTTTTTATTGTTTGGAGCATGTTTTCATCACAGTAAGCTGATTTTTTAGCAAACTCATAAAGGAACCTAATTAAGTTTGATTTTTAAATCTGCATACATTATTGCAATTGTCATAGCTGAATATCAATTGAGTTCAGTTTCAACGGCATCATGTACAGGCAGATTGATGGTGTTTCGATGGGTTCCCCTTTGGGGCCCATCTTAGCAAATATCTTTGTTGGATTCCAGGAAGAGAGTGTACTACTAAAATCTAATAAACCTGACGTTTATTTCCGTTACGTTGATGACACTCTTTGTCTCTTCGATAATGACATTAAAGCAAACCAATTTCTTGCATCCCTTAATATACATCCAGCCTTGAAATTTACACAGGAAAAGGAAGTTAATTCATCTCTTCCCTTTCTCAATGTACTCGTCAGCAGATCTATGTCAGGTTTTATTACTTCTGTGTACCATAAACCGACGTTTACTGGTTTGTATGTCCGTTGGGATTCTTTTTGTCCCAGGAAACGCAAAATTAATTTAATTAAGACCCTTAAGCATAGGGCTCTCATGATCTGTTCAGTTGAATGATGAACTCAGGTTTATTACTTCTACTTTCTGCAACAATGCCTACCCATTAGGCATTGTTCAAGCAATTATTAAGACCAAAGTTGCTGAATTTAACAAAGAAAACACGCTATAGTAGAAAGATATCCTGTGTATCTCCGTCTTCCTTGGCTAGGTAGTATCAGCGATAGGTTTGCTAAGCAGGTTCTACCGCAGTTCGACATTGTTACTTTGCCGCTAAACTTTGTTTTCTCTGCCAGGCCCATTTTTCCATCTATATGTAAGGATGTTCTCCCACCACACCATAATAGTTCACTAATTTATTCCTTTAAATGTAGTTGCAGTTCACACTACATAGGGAGAACAATGCAAAGGCTAGATGCTAGAATAAAACAACACGTTCCAGCGAAAATCCGAAACCGGAAGTACACTCCCTCGGACATTCTGACCAATACGTATGGGTCTTCCATCGCAGAATACCTTATAAATAGCCATAATTGTGCTGTTAGTTTTAGTGCGGACGCTTTTACATCCTTAGCAAGTCCCACTCAAATTACCACCTAAAAGTGTTGAAGGCCATCTATATTCTATCTTTAAAGCCTTCTCTTTGTAAACAGAAGGACTTTATATTAGGCCTCCAACTAATTACCATTTAATTTTTTTTTTTTGCCAACCAATAAACTTTGTCCATTGTTCTTTTTTTTATTATTATTATTATTATATAATTTACTCTATTTACCTCGATTTACCGAGGTATGAAACCGGTTAGCTAGCCTGTTTTTCATTTTTACTTTTTATTATCATGAGTGGTAATAATAAAACTATTTTTTGTCTATTCATGGCAGTGATAAAATTTTGTACCACCAAACATATCTTTATATATACACACACACACAGTACATATGTAATTACACATGTACACACACAAATATATATATAATATATATATATATATATATATTTTTTATTATTAAATATTTTTATCTTATGAAAATAAATAAAATCCTGTGTTATTATTTTTAGCATTACCAGCCTTCAATAATGACAAAAATATTTACCGGCAAAATAGCATTGGGGGTCTATTTTACCGAAATAAGCAAAATAGCCTCTTCCAAGATAAAAAGTCCAAGAAGGATAGAATCCTCTGCTTACCAGAAATTTAACAGAAGATTGTTTTTTTACAGCTTATCAACTCTTTGCAGGTTATTTACAGCAAGAAAATATTTTTAGATTGAAAGAATTTTTTTTGAGATAATGATTTTGTTGTGGATTCCGAGATGAATTCAGTCTCCAAGGAATGACAAACGCAATAATTAAATATAAGAAATAAAATGTATTTACACAATCATACAAAGAGTAATACTGTTAGTAAATCCAGGAACGCAGTTAGTAGCAAATACAGATAGATATATACAGTCTCGAAGTAGGACTTCCTTAGAGTCTACGTGCTTGTAACTGACTTCTACAAGAGGTTATCTCACACTATCTCCGTTTGTATATTCTTTCTCTCTCCATATATCCTCTCTCACTGACTGTCTAACTCTGGGTATTTAACGGCAGCACTCCAAGTAACACTGGTAGAGTCCACTTATATGAAAAAGGGGTGGACCCCATAACAGAGTTATTGATACAAGTCTTACTATTTAACCCATAATTGGGGGGAGAAGAAGTGGATTCATACCTTTCCCAAGGGTATTTGCATGTAAGTGAATATAATGAAGCTGACAGGAATTGGAACTTGGCTCTCTGATTAACAATTCAATTTCAAGTCATTATCCATTACACAACCCACACATCCAAGCTTACAGCACCTGGTATTCTTACACAGTCACCCATCTAGGTACTGGCTAGGCTTAATGTTGCTTAACTTCAGTGATCATACAAGACCCAGTGTTTTAACATGATATAGCCATAAACTTAACAAGAGATAGTGTAATTAAATAGTAAAAATGTTGTTCAACAAAGTCAATGCCAAAAATTTTAAAATTGTTTTGTATTTTTACTTAAACTGAACAGATTTTCGACCTTCAAATATAATAACGTCAAAAGATTTGTACAATGTGTGAATATAAATGAGAGCCTGAAAACATTGGCCTAAACTAGGCTATCATGGCTGGATAGGAATGGTGAGAGTTTAGTTGGATAGGAGTGGTTTCACACACCACAGCTTTCTTTAAAGAGGTCAAATAATGTGCCCACATATGTAGACCAGCTTAGAATAGTACATTTAAAACTGAATTCCTGTTACAGTAAATAGAAACAGTCTCATTTTGATGCCTGCTGAATATGGAAACAATTCCACTCTTAGTCAAATGACCTTTTCTAGGGATTAATCGTTTTTATCTAGATGGTTACAGACAAAATATTCTCCGACCATAATTAAATCAAGGCCTTTAATAAAGTTATTAGTTCTTTGATAAATTCATTAGGTAGGGAAATTAACAATTTCCTATAAAAGTGGAATAGCAATATAAAAAAAGCATAAAGAGAATTTTAAACGAATTTACTCGTGCTCTCAAAAATGATGGCATATATGAAATAGATATCTTCTTAATTCTTTACTGTATTAGGTTTTTGGTAAACTTGGATCTTTGTGCCTGAAACAAAGAAAAAAAATGGAGTGTCAAAAGGACATTTTTCCCTTGACACCACTATTATCTTAACTACCTTCACTCCTTTTAAAATGCAATGATTAGAATTGTAATAAAACCTAAACATGATGAAAGTGGTGAATTTATACTTTTTTTTGTTCTTGAAAATTTACAACAAAAATATTAAACTCTATTAGATTGTTTATTTACAAGAGTAATTTCATATTTACATTCTAAAAACTAATACAATTAAAACTAATGTAATGTAATATTTATCATTTACCAATTTATAAAGAAATAAATTTGTTATTGACAACTTTTTAAACATTTACTATGTGAACCAACTATAAGGAAATCCTTAGTTACCATTTTTTAAATTTGAATCAATTGATAATTAGCTGATGTTTTGTCAACCATTCCAATAAATAAATAGTGTAAATAAACAAACTAATGAATAAATAGTGTTTAATATTTTTGTTATCAATTCTCAAGAACAAAGAAAATGTGTAAATTCACTTTCATGTGTTTAGGTTTTATTACAATTCTATCATCACTTTATAAAATAAACATTGCTGAAGAGTGGAGGTAGTTAAAATAATGGTAGTGTCAATGGAAAAACCATCCCTTTGACAGTGCATGTTTTTGTGGGCACAAAAATCCAAGCTTGCCAAGTTTTCCTATGTAAATCTTTAAGAGATATTTTTGTTGAATTTCTATTAACATCTTCTGCCCTTTACATCTCACAGCTTCATAAATATCTTGGAACAGTCCACCATTGTCATAACCAAACTGTCCCTTTACATCACCATCTCAAGGGGCATAACTCTACTACACCAACAAGTTACATTACAGACAAAACATATATGCATGACATATATATATTTTTTTTAAATCGGTATCACCCCATGCAAGGCAGTAAACTCACTAAGATTTTGATGCCAATCTAGTTCTGCACTTAAATTCAGAAAGTCTAGGTGCCTTGACAAAGAGCGATATTTGTTTTGTAATAAAATATAAAAATGTGGCACAAGGCCAAAAAGGGGGATGAGGAAAGGCTGGTTTTCTTCTGTTTTATAATTATACTTAGCTAGCCACAATCACTGACACTAATATACCACAATATTCCTTACAGCAAAACAACATATTCTTACTTACCATTCTTACTATATCCACCATAATACATCAAAATTCCTAACTAGTCCACACATGTACAATTTTTGTCTGTGAGGGAGGGGAAAAAAACAACAATTTAAAATCCAAACCCCAATATGTATTTACAATATGTGATAAGCTATTTACAATAAACTAAATAAAATAATGTTAGTAATAACCCACAACCCCCACCCCACAATCCTGCATTGTGGCATAAACATCAGTTAACTGGCCAAAATTAATGCAGGACTTAAATAATGAAAACACTCATTTGTTCGACTGCTCATTCAAACACAGCAACAAATATGAAAATCACACCACTGAAATATGAAACGCGTCCTGCATCCATCAGAGAACTGACATCTCTGGTAACCTAAAGGGGGAGGAGAGAGAGAATTAAACTAAAGAAAGTGGGAACAGAAATAAAAGCGGCCAGTGAGCTACATCCCTAGCTAATTAAACTTTGAAAGAAGAAACTAAAGACAAAAATCAACTGTAAATTAACCTAATTTGGCACTGAGTTGCCTATGTTCAATCTAGTTAGAACAATATCCTAATGCCTAACCTAAATCAACCCCTCTTACTCAACAGATACGTGTAAGACTCACCAATCTTTTTTCAATCGCTGAGGGGGGGGGGAAGTTGTCACATTCCCATCCTAATCTTGACTTTAAGCTAATACTTAAAGAACAAAACCAATTGGGAAGAGTTGAAATTCTTGCCACCATAGAGTTTCTTCTGACATGTCCTCCATATCACAACTGTCATAACACTTAGCAAGCAAAAGAACACAGTGTTCAGCCTTCATCAACAATGGTAGCACATTGCTACAGACTGAACTGGCCTTGAGGACAAAAAACTTTCTGCACAGCATACGAATCATGATATCGTCAATAAACCTGCCCAACAGGACTATGACCATGCAATGAAAGAAGGTGTGATCCAGGGTCAGCACCTCTCCATCACAGCAAGTACAGTTTGGAGATTTTTTCCAAGCCTGCCAAACAAAGTCTTTTTCGACCTAGAGGGCCCTTTCAACTCGGGCACCCAAGGCCATATTGAGTGGGCCTCCTGCTTTGTAAGACCAAGCTCATCTATTAGATCATCTTGAATGGACCCCCCCCACCACCACCACCAACACGTAATATAATACTATACAAGATAATGCCTAGACATTGAAGAGGCAATCTGGCACCCATAAGAGATGTTTCAGATCAATCCAACACAATAAAAGGAGCACTCAACTTAGGGTAAAACAGGGGGGGTTCTTCTCAGGGATGGGAAGTTCTTATGCATGTCTTCCTTCCAGAATTCATCCTCACCATCCAAATGATGGAGGTAACAGATCTCCTGAAATACATTTGGGGAGGAGCGGGGCTTGCCTCCTTGCAAGAAGGAAAACAAGACCCTTACTAATGTCATTAATGTGGCAGACAGAAGTGGAAGTACAGAGAGATGTAAAGGAGAATCAGAGAAATGTGTGAGGCACATACTTCCGTCCTCCCTTTTAAGGAAAGATTCCTCTGGGAACACAGACAAACTGTGATCTCAGCTTTCTCCCAGATTTCCAACCAATTCATTGCCAAGTATCTTGGCCCGGGAAGAAAAACTCCTTTCCATGCACCCAACAGCCTTATCGCAGTTGATTTTTGCCCCTGTCACCATCTCTGATTGCTTTGCCAACTTTGTCAATCTCAGTTCTGCCCAACACAAGAACCAAAATATTGTCAGCATAGGTGGAGTAACTGGCCGAGGTGGTAGCAGCAGTTAGGGAAATTCTGCAGAGGACTGGATTCATCTTTAACTTGTGAAAGAAAGGCTTCAACTCAAGAATGTATAGCAAAAGCGAAAGTGAACAACCTTGACAAATGGAGCAATACAATATAATACAAAAGGCTCTGATCAAACTACATTCACTTCCACCAGCGCACCAAGAGATGCATAGAAGTCAGATCCAGGTGCGAAAGTATGGCCACCAAAAGGACAGCCTCCAGAAATTAATGATCAACCTTATCAAAAGCCTTGGACTGATCTAAATTGATCAGCATGTCTTCACTGTCGATTTGCTCAATGATCAAGCATACAATATGAAGGTTGTCCTCTATAGTCCTGCCCTTCACAGCACAAGTCTGTTCAGAGCCAATTAGACTAGAGAAGACAGACTGCAAACGGCTGCCTAAGATTTTGTCGAAAATTTTTAACTTTCTGTTTAACATAGGTAACTTTCGGCCTTTAATTAACCCCTTTTTTGTTCTTGTGTAGCAACATGATCACAACACTAGTGAAGTATTGAGGTATAGACCTCTGCTTCATCCAGTTGTTGTAAATCAGTGCCAGCAAAGGAACAAGGATGGGCAATTGCCTCAAGTAAAGTTTATAGGTAGGGGAATTAATTTTCTGGAATCATTAATCTTAAACGGAATTTGGGTTTTTAATGTAATTTTCAAGAATGAATAACAAATTTTTTTTTTTTTCATTTTTTTTCAGATTTTTTTTAAATTCTTTCAAAACTTAATAACTGTCTCTCCGATTTTGTTAAGCATTTTAATATAACAATAACATAACGCAGTTATATCCTTAAAATTTGTTTTTACAAATCTTTGTAGGTATTTTCCTTATAAAACCAGAAAAATAATTAAGAACAAAAATGTTTACATCAAAAAAAGAAAAGTGGGTTCTCGATTTTTTAAGAATATGTTGGCTAATCTATTTTTAAATATTTTATAACTTTTCTAAGAAACTGTATGTTGCAAATGAGATGAAAGTCAGAAGGTCACGGCTCGGTTGTGGCCACAGAAATCCATTGCTAAAATGGAAATGGAAGACAGACACTAGTTGATGTCAAAATTGAAGGGGGGGAGAGAAAGAGAGAGGAAGATCCAACCAATAAGTTTAAGAAATTCATTTCCTTCAAGTAAAAGATTCTAAACAACTTGCAAGCTTGTTTTATGAACATGGAGAAGTAAATGCTATCACATGCCTACCATACAATTTAGAAATAAAGAAAAAAATAATTCTCCAAAAACGACTGGCTTGTCTAAGCTTACCGTCACACAGCGATTCTCCGGGATTAATAATTGCATCATCTTCAGTGCTACACCATTGTAAACAAATTTAAATTGAACAAAAAAATACTTTAATAACATTAACTGCCAATGATTATTTTTAA